TGGGGGGGTTCATTGTCTTCAGCTCTGACGTTTAATCAGATTTTCCCATCCAAAGTACATATTTTGAAAGAAATCTAAAGGTTGTTGTGTTTCCTGCTGCAAGAACAATCTGATAAGTGTAGTTTAGTTTACAGGAAGCGCAGATCAACATTCACTGCTTCTAACAAAAAGGGGGAAATGAGACTCACTACGTGAACGGCACAATAAACACTGCTGAAAATAAAAACCTTTTAAATTCCAGTTTTTTGTTTGTATTGAGGACATTTTAAATCACCATTGAGTTGCACAACTGTGATTATATTTTGAACATAATTTGAAACATGTACACTGTGATTATCATCTAGTAGTTTCACACAAATTGGGCTCAATCAGTCTCAACATTATACTGATAGTTCAGTGATCACTTCATCTGTGTCTAATGTCCAATGAGCGTAGAAATGAACGCACTAACGTTTGATCTCGTGCTGAGTCCAATATTTGAAAATCTATGAAAAGCCTCGCAACACAGCCAAACTTCATCAAGTGGAATAAATGAGGGATCAAGTGCAGTGTTTTGTTTCAGTAATTGCCATTTCCACACATTTAGGATCAGACGACAATCTGCTGGAAAAGACAAATCGAACCCCAACAAAAGGATGCGCTTGGTCCTTACACATTTTTGGGATTTTTATATCCCTTGTCCATTTTTCCCTATTCCTGATTCTTGTATACAGACATTATTTGCAGAAAGCGATATTGATGTAGTTCCCTGGAAAATACGACATTGTCCAATTGGCCAAGTGTTTAAATTAGTTTTTGTGGCGGAAACTTATTAGTGCATCAACGTACGCAGACGGATACGCAGACGGGTACGGTGACATCAGTCGGCTTTAATTAGCTGTTTCGCCATAAGGGGGGAGAGAGATGCGTTGTGAGCGTTGGAGGCTAACGCAGCTCATGACAAAGCCCAGAGGTTTGGCTGTGATCTTCTCCAGCCGAGAGTTGTGATATCAGGTGGCGCCGCCGCGCACAACTGAGGGGAAAAAACCCCGTCATCGCACACATTCAATAAGGAGGTCCTGAAGTCCCTCTAGAATCTGCAAAAGAAAGAAGATGAAAGAACCACGTGAAATTGTGCTATTCTTCCCGGATGTTGACTTCATTCTCGTGGGGAAAAGAGCTGAGCTGCATGTCTCTTATCTCTCTGCTCGTTTTCACTGCAATCGATTGAAAATCTCAGCAGAACTTCTGGTTTATTTTCCACAGTTGGAACGTTCAGTCTCTTTCATTTGTCGGCGGGTTGGATTCCTGTCACCTGCAAACTACACAGGTGCTGCTCATCCAACCAGCCTGATTCCTGCTCTGTGTCGGCCACGTGTTTCACAACAAGCAGAGTAGAGGAACAAGTGATCGAAACGTTTACCATCACTCTCTGAGGTTCACATTCTGTCACTCGGCAACGCCTACATGGATTCATGTTCTTTCGTCCATAGAAATGTGCACAAATGATTTTTACACAAAACACACATCAAAATGTAAAAAGAATCTTTTCCTGCTGTATTGTGTTGTTTGCTCAAGACTCCTCTGAGCCGCTTCCTCTGGCAGTATCTGTACGGCGTGCGGTGTGTGTCAGAGGGGGAACTAGAGAGAAAAACACAGCTGATGCTACCTGTGTGTGCGTGTGTGTGTCTGCACATTAAAAAGCCTCGGGCTATCCTCCATCCAGCAGAGTTTCTGTAGAATGAACAGAAAAAACTGTGCGTTTGATACGGCAGAATTATTTCAGTTTCTTTGTCAGAATCATTCCGTTTTTCAATTCTAAATGTTGAAAAAAAGTCAATTTCAAAAGCAGACAAATGCAATTTTCCATCTGGTACCAAAGCTTATATCAGAAGGCAAACTTTCAAAGGTTTGAAGTTCAGGTGAACTGAATATTTGTATGTGGCTGAGGGAGGAACTGGGCAGCAAACAGAATGTTGTTATCAGCCAGATTTGCAAACGGTGGCAGGATCTCACAGTAAATCATTGTCCACAAACTGCAGATGCACTCAGTCATGCAGTACATCTGCAGACATGAGGCATTTGTTAAAGGTGTCAACATTTCAGCCGAGAGGAAATTCTTCCATCTTGAGAATCTCAGAATGCTTATTACACATTTGAGACCGAGCCCTGAACCAGAGGGCCTCTGGGATGATGAGAGCTCAGTATGTGTGAGTGGCAGGAGTGATATGGGCCACAGGTAGAACAGACCCATGCTGGACAGAGTGGAACAGGGGCCGTGTACGAGGGGCCATCTGCAACATGAGATCGCTTCCGCTCTCATTGATTTTTGACGCGCTAAATGAATCCGCTGCAACATTCAGCTCATCCAAAAACCGATTCTGCTCCCTCTGCACTTCACTCGTTGGCAGTTTGTATGCGGTGCAGGACGCTGGCGGGGGCACCTCTCCGGACTCCTGCCGGTCACCCGGGGGCTCCTGTGCCTGCCTCCTCTTATCCGGCCCGTGGTGGATGAGGAAACCTCAGAGCTCAACCGCCGCTGCGGGTCCAAAAGAAAGGCTTCAGGGAAAAACCTACACCGAGCTGCCACTTAATAACAAAAAATAAAACTTTGAGACAAAGTGAAGCTCTTGTCTCTTTCATTGTAAAATAATCTAACAACAAATGCAATGTCTAGTAATGACTTTAATTCTCAATGGGAAGGTGAAGTAAGGAATCCTCAACCTGTCTTCACAGTGAAAGGTTTTTAATAACCTCATACGTCTGAACCATTACATTTGTATGATTGATAATACTAATATAGAGAAAGAAGAACATTAGTGAGTTGGCTGAATAAATTGTAAGGCGGTTGATCTTGAGTGATGCTGCGCAGTGATAATAGTCTGCTGATGATATCACAATAACAAAATGCACTTTAGCAGCAGAGCAGTGATTTGAAACATCGTAAGGCATCCGTTGAAGGTAACAAATGAGAAAAGTGCTGCAGGGAATAGAAACCAGATTCCAACAGATCACGGAGGCCAAATAATGTGTGGGAAGAGGAAGCGTCGTGTGGAGGCAAGGTGACGATGAATAGTGTGAGAAGGATGCCAGAACGTTCCTTTTCCACTGCCGGCTTTGTTGCAGGTTGTTGGCGGATACTTTGAGGTCAGAGGTCCACGATGAATGGACATCGTATGGGACAGAGAGCGATAAAAAAGAGGTTCAAGAAGAGGAAAATATGTTAGGAATAAGAAAATAAGGGGCAGGGATGGGAGGATTGGGTCAATGGTAGGATTGTGTTTAATTTTGAAGCGTGTTGACCTTGAAGTCCTGATGTGAGAAGACAAAAACAACAGAAATTGTGCAGCAGCATCGAAACAGCGCCCAATGGGTTCCAGAAAGGAAGAGGGAACTATTTGAAATAGCAAAATACTGTACAGTCAATATTAGTTCCAGATGAATTAACAGTTACCAGAGCCTGTTCATGGCCTCTGAATGGATATGACACCTTTTCACTGGTCACAATCGACCATGTTTTTTCTTTCCCCTAATTTCAATTAATTCGCTCTGCTGTTCCGAGGACTTGATTATCAGCTCATGTGACACAATGAAACATGACGTGGAGTTTTTATGGCCCCTGTTTTAATTACTTGGGTTCCACATAGAGTGAATCCATATTGTAATTAAACCACTGGGCAGGGTTTCGCCTTTCGGCTGCAGCAGCTTTCTGTACTGTACCCTCCTTTGAAAACCTCGGTTGATGAACGCTTATGTGACATTTAAAGTATTTATGAGAGACGTTTCATGAGGGCCGAACCTCAAAAGAGTTCAAATGCCACCTGAAGCGAAGATGCAAAAGGCAGGTGCCTCCAAAATAGGATCTCTGCTGCAGCCATGACTTTTAATTCAAGTTGTTTAATAAATTATAGAGGAGCGTACCTTTGGTAATAAAATGATATATAAAAAATTCATACTCCAGGAGGATGGTGCCACTTCAACAGAATAAACCAAATGAATAATTATTTTATTTCAGTGAGAGGAAATATCGCTTTCCTTTCTGGATGAGAGGAATGAAAACATGCGTCTCTTTGCTCCAATGTATAGGTCCATTTGTCATTAAACAATTACAGCGCAAAACATAATTACAGAATGCAGCAACACGCTAACAAAGAAATATCGACCGTTGGCTGTGTGAGGAGCTCCTGTTGCTAATGAAGGTTCCCCTCCATTGTCCTGGAGACGTTTTAGTTAAATAACGCTTTTTCAATCCCATAAATCTACCTCGGTTTTGTGAACAAAAGAGCTGCATTAACTTGCAGATGAGCAATGACGCGTTGTGACGGCGCCGCGTCGCCGTCTTCTGTTTCATGTGGTCTGGATGTGTGTAGAAGACGCTTCCCAGTTTGGCAGCCGGCCACAACGCGTGGACATGGAAGCCGACTCACATGGGAGCTCATTTGGCCGAGCGGCTCGTTCAGCTAACGAGAGAAACCTCCCGGCCAACATCCGGCCTTCCAGAAGCACACAGCTCACGTTGCTCCTCACGGATTCGCAGGTCCACGTGATCTTTTGTACGCTGCAAGGGCTCAGGGGCTGGTAGGCTTGGAAATGGTCTTTAATTCAGAACTCAAGAGATCTCACGCAGTGAAGATATATATATATATATATATATATATATATATATATATATATATCTTTTTCGGATTTCTTTTGCAGATATAACAGAGACTATAGAGATCAACATAAGTCTTCCTCATCAGACACTGATTATTCATTCCCAGCCAATTTACTGTTCATCTCATTTTGTTTGTGTGTGTGTTTAGGAGAGTGCACAGTGTTTAGTAGGGGTCTTTAGAAGATCCTCTTCACGAATGCTTCTGCTACTACTGTTGTAGATGTTGAACAAATGCTGTGTGTTTGCTAGCGGTTGGTTTGACAGAAGTGGGGTCTCTTGTTTGATGCTTTAGTAGTGGAACAACATTTTGAAATATTATCTAGTTGACATCTCAGGTTCCAAACAAAATAGGATTAACTAACAATCATCAGGTCAAATTTTAATTTTTATGTTTCATCAACAAAACGCTGTACAAATAGTCACATTCTCGTCACCTCAGTTTGCTTTTGGTGCCAATTAGCAAATGTTAGCTTGCTAAAACTTTGATCTTTGATGGGGAACACAAAAAAGGATTAGAGCACGTCGAACCCAAGTAACAACATCAGTGACTGCAGACATTTAGGCCCAATGCTAATTGCCCCAATCACACATTCACAGATGAGACGTGTTCCCGGAAATCAGGCATGTTTAGAGCCGTCCACCTGTCAAAAGGACCGGTAAAGAAGGAGGAGTATTATTAAAAAGGGTTAGAAAAGTTTTGAGGGTTTGAGCTTTTATTAACGGTGTGGCATCTTCAACTACAATGATCTGTTTCATAGATTAGTGATATTTTAATTACTGAACACATTTTTTCTGTGCAGCTTGAGACTACAGCTGTTCTGTTTCAGTCAAAACTGCATGAATGATTGAGAGACACCCATCTGTTTGTCAAATTAACCTCACTAATGAGTCTAAAAGTAAAGAGAGGTCAGATCAGTCAATAACTGATCAGAGGAGAACAAACAGCGCATCATATGCAATCAATATGCATTATTCAAAATGAAGTGAATTATATTAGTACAAAGAGGACCACTCAACAAATGCACAGAATTGTTACTTTGTACCCTCAGTGATGTCACAGAGTGATGTCACACATTCCAGCTATCTTTTAAAGCAAATCTGCGTTACCACAGCAACGTGTGGGCATTGTAATAATTAATATGTACAATTAATACATAATCCTATAATAAGGGATGCCAATTTTTGTATAACTCTTTTCAAACGTAGTTGCTAATTATATATTATTATAATTTATCATCTTGTTTAGAAAAAATACAAAATAGTGCCACCACAGGAGGACAGACAGGATGCACTTTGTTTATACGAGGAATACAAAGTGGTTCTCACAAAACATTTTTACATATAATCTGTGGCCGAGCAGCGCCGACCTATAAAGGTAACTTTGTTCTGCTTGTTTCCTATTTGTGGAAAAGAAGGAGGATTCGGTGCTCTCATTTCTGTATGAAGGAAGCTGCACAAATGAGGATCAGCACAGCGACTCGCATTCTTCTGGGAGATAAGAACAAAATAACAAGAAATTTTGATGTAGATCACATTTTTATGTCTGCAGAATGCAATTACTGTTAATCATCATCTTTTCTGTAAGTGTTTCTTAATGTATGTATTAACACTAGATCTTTGGACCATAGGCCATTAATCATTTGTTGATGCAGAGTAGTTTTTATATTTATGATAAGCAATTCATTTCTATTTGCTGGGTGCACGTTTCATATTGCGGTACACGAACAATACACGAAAACAGGTAATGAAGGTCTGCTTTGGTGATTTCATCAGACAACTTTTCGAGATGGGCGTTGAAACCAAATTTCCTCACCTAATGTACATTCGAGATTTCAGTTTTTTAAAACAAAGCTGACATTTCAATTATTGTCATATGTTTGATATTTGGAAATATGCCTCTGGCATTAACGTTATATTACAGTATTTAAAAATGTTCAGAAGCAAATCAATCATCCAACCAAGACGAAAGCTCTCACCCCAGACAGGGGGAGGGGTTTGTTAATATTCATACAACAGGTAAGTTAAATTGTTCCAAGCAGAGACCAGTCTGAGGCCGAGACTAAATCCAAGTCTATGCAACTGTCTTATAGTCATTAAAAAGAGGATGAAGGCCCGGTAGGCTTTAGCGATTGTGTCCTCTTATTTTTGACCGGATTTTTCAATTAATAACGATTTATCTATTTAGCTTTAAATAAAAGTACAAGTTATCTCTGGGCACGTTTCTCATAAAGCACCCTGAAGAAGATACAGAGACGCTACAATCCTCTACGAGGAAGTAATTTGCTTTGTGACAATTTAGTATGTAAATGATGTAGTATCATGGGACACATTATTAATGGTATTACCGTTTAGCTACACAGAATCACATTACTTTGGTCCATCATTCGTTGTTATGTATAACTTCTTTACCCAATAGTCAAAAGAAGATTGTGACGTCATCATTGAGCCTGAAGAAGAGAAGATTTCTTCATGTTTTAACCATTTAGTCGGACTCATTGGTACAAATACATCTTCATTTATTTCACATACATTTTTTTTTTTACTTTTACTTTGAAGTTTTCACAATCTAAATGATTCAACAACAAAATGAGGAACTACCACAACAAAGTCCAAATTTCATACTTGGGAAAGTTATGCAAATGTCACTGTAGTAAAATTGGCTTTGCCAACCAGCAAATTTACAGTTAAAGTAATAAAAATGAAGAAAAAAAAGGTGGTTCATGTAGGTACTTCAACCGATACGGGGTCACCGCTTTTTCAATTCAAGTGAACAGACTTTTTTTAAATGCTCAACATTGGTCATAAATAAAATATTTTTTCTTCTTTTTTTCATTGATAAATAATTTATATTTATTAATATCTAGGAGTCAATTGGGGGAACGGGGACATGTGATCACCCATAGAAGCCCTTCATGAATCCATGAAAACTTCAAAAGTCTGAAGGTTATATCAATTTTGGCTAATGCATCCCATGAATATTGCTATGAATAGTTCTTTTGGATGGATATACATGTACACAATGAAGCATTAAGTACACAAATTCAGTATTGAACATAAGAAATTGTGATCTGTTTTGTTGATTTGTTCAGTGAATAAGCATGGCGCAAGACTAAACAAAGTAGGTTAATAGCGTAGTTACAAATTTGAACTGTACATTGTTCAGCCAAGTCTGTAGATCCAACTTAAAACTGAAGCATCCTTCTTTTTGGGCATATAAACTTCAAAAAGCTGATATATGACCCCTCTCCAGGTCCCCATGGCGGCAAAAGTATTCACTCCTTATCCACGTCGAAGAAGCTGCCCGCTGGCAATGACGTCAGAGGTCGTCAGAGGTCGTCAGAGGTCGTCCTACTGCGACTTTCTTCATTTGAAACAAGGTATATTCAACCATTACACAAAGATCCAGTGATTTTAGATACTAATTATCTTATTTTGATGCCGAAAATGTTCTCACTACTTTTCTCCCTGAATCTGTGGGAAGTTCAGTAGTCAGATTTTCAAAAAAATACATTGTACTTTGGGCGTTTCCACAATCCAGAACCTTGTATTTATAAAAGAAGTCACATCATTTTCATGTTAAAACGACGAGGACCGGCTTGTCCCTCCGCAGAGTCAACGTTAGTGCCGTTGGACTTTGACCGAGGCACGTATTCAACGTCTATGTTGTTTTTATGTTTTCCTTTCCCTCTGCTCCAAACGAAAAGAAGCAGGAAACAAAACAACACCACTCCAAGAAACGTGAAACAGCCCATGGCGGTTGACACTAAAATGGTCTTTAGGTCTAAGCCAAGGGTCACACCGGCCGTGCCGTTGGCGGTGGTGTTGCTGGGATCGGTGTAGTACTGGGTCCTGTTGGCATACAGTGATCCCAGACTTTTCACCGCCAACGAAGTCATCAGGGTGTCGTTCCCAGCACTGTTGGAGGCGAGGCAAAGGTAGACACCGCCGTCTTGCACCTCTGCCGACTTGATCTCCAGCGTACCATTGTTGTGGACGGTGACTCTTCCGTGGCTCCTGCTTGTCAGCACCTGTCGGCGTGGGGACAGCCAGGACACCAAAGGCCTCGGGGTTCCTTCGGCACTGCAGCTCAACATCGCCTGCTGGCCTTCATCCACAGTAATGGTTTGTGTTTTGTTCTCACGGATTTTTGGCTTGGTGCACGTGACGTAATAGGACAGGAGAGTCTCCTTGAACTCTTTAAAAGGCCTTCCACGAATACCTTCAGGTGTGCTGCACTCCGGCTGCGACTCTCCAAAGAAGATGGAGTGCCTTTTCTGTAGAATCCACATGAGACGACAGTCACACACCAAGGGGTTGTTGTCAATCAGAAGAACCTCCAGAGCCTCAGGGGACTGAAAGACACCCTTCTCCAGTGTATTCAGTCGGTTGTGAGAGACATTGAGGACTTTAAGCCCCCTCAGGCCCTGGAAGGCATGCAGCTCAATGGTTGTTAGCTGAGTTCCGACCAGATGGAGCTCTTTAAGCCGCACCAGTTCCATCAGCATCCCACCTTCAATGTGCCTGATGCGGTTGAAAGACAGGTTGAGACTCGTCAGGTAGGGTAGATGCTTCAGGGCTTGGTAAGGGAAGGAGGACAAGTTGGTGTTGGTTATGAACAGAGCGGACAGATTCAGGCCGTGCAGTGTGTTGGGAAGCACTTGGTTCAGTGAAGTCCAATTATCGATTTCTAAATTCCGAAGACGGAACAGTTTTTTGAAGGAGTAAGCATGCAGAGAGCTGATGCTGAGGTAACGTAAATGGAGACTGACCAGATTATGCAGGTGGGAAAGGGCCTCGGTTGGTACAACTGTGAGGTTACACCTTTCTAAGGTTAGCATCTCCAGGCTCAAAAGTCCACTGAATGCACGATGAGAAATGTAAACCAGGTCATTGTCACCCACTTCCAAATACTTTAGATTGTGCAAGTCCTGGAACATGTAATCCAGCAGGATGACGATCTTGTTGTCACTTATATCCAGTCGGGTGAGATTCGTTAAGGCTGCGAAGACGCCCAGAGGGATCAGCTTGATACGATTGCTCTTGAGGCTGAGCGAGTGCATCGTGAACAGTCCGTTGAAAGCTCCGGGCTCAACATAACTAATAATATTTCCACTGAGGTCGAGTTCCTCGAGCCCAGGAAAGACTAAAAAGTCGTCAGGGTTGATCATGGTCAGCTTGTTCTTACTAAGGTCCAGGATCCTGGTCTCGGTCGGGATGCCGTCCGGGATGCTGGGCATGCGCTTGCGGTGACACACGACCGCCTTGGTCTGCGCTGAACACTCGCAGCGCGAGGGACACGCCTGGGTGGAACCCACGAAGACGGCCACCAGGGCCAGTCCCAGGAACGGTTGCCAGCACGAGACGACCGCGTGCAGCATGACTTTGCTCAGACAGTCGACCATTCTGTCACGGTTCTGCACAAGGAGAGAGGCATGGGAGAGAAAGAAGGCGAGAGGTTAGTCACTCAGGACGGTGGCTAATGTTAGTAGTTCATTTTACAAATAACATGACAGGACTGGGAAAGAGAAGAGTAGCCTTGGCTGCTTTTAATAGTATTGTGGGGTAGAATTAGATGGACCTTGGTGCACACAAATATCACACTGTTTCCATGCTCTTCAAATAGAGGCTGAATTGCTCCATTCCACATTTTGGTCTTTGGAATTAAAGCGCCTCTTCCTTTTGTTTCCTCCAGTTCAATGTTTTTGCTCTCTTTGTTTTTCTTTCCCCCGTAAGACACTGATCAAAGCCCAGCGGTGCTGGTTGAAATGCTTCCCTGGTGACTGTTGGTATATGAAGTATGTGTTGTTGTTTTTTTAGTGTGTACTGCAAAACTAAGCATGGAAAAAACAGCATGTCACTCTGTGCAAACATGCTGCATCTCTACTAGAAGTGGGTATTGTTCTCACACATATATTACCAGTTTCTGTTGGACGTTATTAAAAAAAATACTGCATCCTCTCTCCTAGAAGAAACCATTTCAAACATGCAAACACGGAAGAAGGAAAGAAATCCACGATGAATTAAATACTTGGCACTTTATGCAGTTCATAGACAAAAGGGTTGGAGGTCATCAACAATTACTACAAGGCAATAAACTAAAGGTCTGACATTGGATATGTTTTGATCCAATTTAAAAATGTATTCACAAAAACAAATGGAGGTTATCCTGGATGTGGTTCCAAATCCATTCAAATAAATCTAATGGAATAGAGAGCGTCCGCCTGCCTGATGGATATTTCACATTTGAAGGAAAAACCCATTTACACTATTGTCAATGTTTCTTTCACACATGTGGCTCACGAAAGTATCTCCAGTCAGTTATGACAGAAAATAGATAATGATGTATGTAGATCAAAATAAAAAGAAATCCTCTCATCTGGAAAAATGTATTTGCCGTATACTCGTGTGCACCACATTCATACCTGTTCATACATTACAGAGAAAAACATGAAGATGGCATTCAGAGAACGAATGCAATGCTTGCCACAAACAGACTAGGAGGCTGCACACCATCGCTGCCTCATTTGGTGTTTCATGGCCTGTGCTAAATGTAAATCACAAGAGGAAAAATCTAAATGCCTCTCTAGACTTTTAACACGCACACAGCTGGTGGTACAAATCGAATGTTATGGCATAAACATCTAAAGGGAAACATTGACATGATCTCAAACGTTTGTCCAACATTTGAATGCATTCATGGCGATTGGGCGTTGTGTTTTGTTTGTTACTGTGTTACTTGTATGCATTGTTATTCCCTCTTCCATGTCTCTGCTCGTCCCGCGTTTCATGGAGCGATATCTCCGGGGTCGGGGGGGGGGCACAACACGTCTGGCTCGGCCCATTCAAGTGTTCAACGACTCTCTAATGCGGTTTGTTGGTAAAGCAGCGCTGCTCCTCACACGCAGCAGTTCCTTTCCACGTCAATGTTCATGTTAACATCCCAATTGTCTGAGCCGGTCTTCCCAGATAACTGCTATTAGTGTTGTTATCTTTCATTTTGTGAACCAATGTGGGAAAATGACCTTTTGGTCGGTTTGAATGATTGCAGCGAAGAGCAATTTAAAGAGTGGGATCAATATTTTTTGAGCCTCGACTCAATTGCATTTTTAGCATGAAAGTATAAATAACAGTTGGCTGTCTAATCTCTACCACAGCTCTTGTTTTAATTCGTAATTGTGTGTACTTATTTATTTAAATTGAGGGCAGCCTGGTTCGGGTGCAGCGGCTTGTGTTAATCTTAAATGACTCATATTCAGTATATTTAGGTATTGAACAAAAAACGCAAACAAAAGCCAATCCAAGCATTCAGTGCACTAGTGAGTGAAAAAATCAATATTTTGTTTAACGCAGCGTTCAGATGTTTCTAGATACACATAACGTGATTGTGAGACACATACACACACATTTCTAAACAACAGGTTTTCTTGTGTCACCTTCTGCAGATTCCTCCCACGTAATAACCACCTTAGGCACACGCACGCTCGCACAAACTGTCCACATAAATGGCAGCAGCGTATGATTCAATGGTTTACTAAGAGGGTGTCTAATCAGTGTAATGATTGGGCGTCTTTGTAAGAGTGTGTAATCACAGTAAGAGTGAGTCTGTGATCTGGCCTCTTCACCTGGGCGCCGCTGAACGAGAGCATCATGTCGCAGGAGCATCATCAGCGGCCCGGCTGAGGAGTCGCGTGCGCGTGAAGATAAAGCACGAGAGAGGCAGCTGCCCCGGGGCCACTTCTGCAAATAGAATTCCAACTCTCTGCTCATGACGATTCATGTGTGTGTGTGTTAGTGCACCTCAGGTAGTCCTAGCTGGGGAACCAATGTTTATGTTTCATTTTCTTATAATGTCCCCAATCATTTCCACAAAAACATGGAATAAATTGTTGTTGCACTGATTCATCCTTTCAAAATGAAAAGACAAAATACAGGATACAACGTGTGTGACCTGAAGTATTCAAAATCCATTTTTCTTTAACCAAAACCCTTTTGGTTTTAACGCGGCTTCCTGGCCTCGAAGGAAAGAAATCCTTTTAACGGTACCTTGCGTTGCTGTAAGTGTCTCTGATTAATGTGGATAATGAAGACGATGTGAGATCAAGGAAAGAGTCTTGTAGCAAAAAAACATGCGTGATGTTTAACAATCAGAGAGACGAAGCAAAGGCAACTCGTGTTTCCACAAGGAGAGATCTATTCCATTCACTAAACAACATCAAAATCCCTTATTTCCTTCCTTCTTTTCTCTTGTTACATTTGTTCATAAGGTCTAAAGCACGTACCTACATGCGCACACGCGCGGCGGAGACGACCTGGAGCTGCTGCCTGGACAGCATTCATCATTTTATGTTAATGTTGAACAGTAATACAGACTTTCTTTAGTTATATCAGTTTGTACTAAACATACATATAACTTAGAAAGCCTCAAAAAGGCACATTTATCTCTCTCTAGGTCAGGGGTCTCAAACTCGCGGCCCGCGGGCCAATTGCGGCCCTCGGGACGATATTTTGTGGCCCCCGCCTTCATATGAAAGTGTAATGTTAGTGCGGCCCGTGAGTTCTATATTGTAGCAACCTCGCTGTTAGCAGCCACTTACAACCTCCACCCCAGCGCCGACCGTTCCGTTCGCCGGTCGGACCGTCAGTGTCATCCCCCCCGTCGGCCATAATGGTCTGGCCCGCGTTCGGGCGAGGTGGGCTGCATCTGGCCCGTACCTGACTTGAGTTTGAGACCCCTGCTCTAGGTGAAGTAAGTTAGTAGTAATATATGCCAACTCTATGCAGACATTATAGACACAACATGAAAACACTTGATGTCAATATATTGTCTTTGATAATCTTGTCGGATGCAGATAGAAAGTGATGATTGCTGGATCGTATTGTATGCTGACATCGCCCTGGAGTATTTGAGCTGGAGATGAAACCATGTGTGTGTGTTTTACAGCAAAAAGCTTGCGTGCATCATGATATATATATATATATATATATTCCTAATATGCTTTAGTGCTTTTAAAAAGGACTCCCGTGACAAAAGAAAGGCTGACATTACTTCTTCGCATTTAATAATCAAATGAATTACAGGTATGTTCTTTTGTCAGACTAATAAAGCTCTGTTTAGCTTTGACCTCTGCACTCAGCAGAGTCAGCAGCGCGTTGCGAGGATTTATCCGGTCGGAGTGGAAACGCTGCATTCAGGAGATGAATCGCTCGCTGGGCAGCAAACCAAGATCATCTGCAGGGTCACTGCTGACTGTCCTGCTCCTGTGCGTCCTCACTGTGTCTCTCATCTTGCTCACATTTGATCTTCTTGATTTTTTTAACGACTCACAATGTTTAGACAACACTTCGTCATTCATACAAATGTGCTGATTATGTGTTAATATTGCTTTATTTGGATGTGTGAGCAGAACGATGTGTCTCCACGATAGGAACAGAGTTTATTACTGTGATTTGTTTAAGAAGTAAGATCTAAACTAAGAGCAACAAACAAGTCAATGTGAAATTTAAAGGTCTGGTTTAAAAAATAAATCAACAATAGAGTCTCAGTTCTCATTTCGCTGGGCTATTTCACGTCATTTCAAGTTAAACAGCAGCACTAATACATGTGTAGGTTCGGGAATGTCAGGTACAGATCACCTTCCTCTAAACATCATCTTACCTTCAAGCTGCAGACTGAAACATGGTCAATCTAATCCAGCGATCACTGGTCCTTCTACTCCTCAGCGTCTCCTCCCCTGCTGGGCACAGTGGACTCCCACTATGAATGTTTGATTTCAAATTATTTACCAAGTAAATACCCTCCAGCATGGAGCGACTATGATTACGCTAAATGGTGAATCAAATTACTCAATGGTTTCTATGACTTTACAGGAGGTGCTGCTTGTTGAAATGTGATCGTGGCCACATGCAATTAAAATGAAAGCACAGTTAAAGTGCAAATTCGCACACTCTAAAAAATTTCGCCGTAAATTAACGTTGTTTTACTGGCAGCAAGGACACCAGGAATCTACCGTAAATGTTTTTTACACTATGTTACTGTAAAATGGATTACTGTATGTTACCGTACGATTTAACCAATTTTACTGTCAATTAACTGCAATATAGTGGCAGTCAACGCTAGTAACTTACTGTTTTATTTACAGTGCCCTACCGTAATTTACGGTATGTTGTCGTATATTGGATTACAGTTTGTTACCGTACGATTACTGTTTTTGTGTTATAAATACCAGAATGTTACCTTTTACTTATAACCGTATACTTTTGCATTTAATTTGCCGCAAATTAAAGAAAGACAACCAAACTCATTTCGATGATAGTGGTTGGAGTTTATTAGATGCCTTTGAGACAAAAGTGTTAGGCATTTGTAAACAAGAACAAAACATAAAACATGCCGCATGTATACAATAATAAAGAAATT